AAAGTTATCGACCGGTACGAGCGACCTGCTTCGAAGCCACATTCGAAGCGGGAAATTTGAAATCCCCGAGAGGTGGAAGGAAGTCACGTAGCGGCGTTCGTCAGTCGGTAATTATATATCGGCCTGAGAACAAATACGTATCTCGACGGAATCTATCCCTTTCTGTCTCGTCGGTTCAACTTCCACGGAATCAATCGTCCCGCGGGAATTCCCGACGCGTCCGAATAAAATTTAATTTCCTCGGAAAGATCCCGCAGCCTGTAGTAATGGAAAATCTTCCCGATGCGGTCGAAATAATCGATATATACCTCGTTGCCATCTTCGTTGCCACATCATTTTCCAACCAAAGATTACTTATTCAACGACTCGCTTTCGTATCATCGTCGTTTCATCTCGATCATCTTACCTCGAAAGATTTGAAGAATTTAAGGGACTCGAAGAGGAGAAATATTAAGAGAAGAAGAAGAAACGGACTCACGATTTATCGGTGAGGACGATTTGTTTGGCGAATCGTTAGACGCAACGTTAGTAGCTAGCGTAAATAGAATAATAGAATAACGATTGTCGCAAAGATAGAAAGGGGAAAAAAATCTCTCATTGAGAAGATATTTCTCCCGATTAATCTATCCACGAATCACGTTCCTTTTTCCATCGACTTGAGGATCGATTCGACGCGTTCCAGAAACGAATCGAAACGGAATCTCATCGCTCCTCTAAACTTGATCGGTGGATTCCTCTTTCGGGGAATTGATTAAGTTCGAGTAAAAGTACGAACGAGGGAAGGGGGTTCCCGGTGAAATCGTTTTGAAACGCGAGTCTCGAAAGCGTGGGGAGGGAAAAAAATAGATGGATCCCCTCCCTTCGAACGAATATATTTCATTCGACGTGGCCGCACGTTTCGAATTCGAAAACAAGGATGAACGGGGTGAATGTCTTCCGACAGTGGGCGTATCTGATCTACGGGCGTTGGTGGTAGGAAGAAACAAAGAGGGTTACTAATGACCCGGCAAACGAATCGGTGGCTCGAATGGGAATGCATTTCCAGGGTGGAAAACGTCCACCTCGACGTCGACTAATTTTTCATCGGTGGCTTGGCTCCGGCTACTCTCTACGTTGGACAGCCGGCGAAAACATCACCGAGAATCGTGTATTTTGTTTTCTCGAACTCGAGGTTGGAAGTCTGATCATCGAGGAACAACGATGGAAAAACTAGTTTTGATCCATCACGCGTTGTTCGAATCGTTGGAGGAGCAAATAGTTTGTAGCGTGTGCTTCGTAGGAAAGATTTCGAGTCGGTTGAAGAAAAGTTGGAATATTTTTTTTTTTTATTCATAAACAGTTCAAGCATAAGCTTTATTTATGAGCGATTTTTACTGCTTTTAAATTTTAAAAGCGGTTATTTGTTCGTGGCCACTTTTTTGCTTCGTGTCGTCAGGCGTTTGAAAACGTACAGCATATTCGCACATCGATCCTTATCCTCGAGAATCTCTCTCTCTCTCTCTCTCCTCTATATTTTCTCGATCTCACTTCTGACTGCGCGACTCCTTTTTATTCCGGAAGATAAAAAATGTCACGCGGAGAGGACATTTAAGAGACGTGAACAACGCAAAGAGACGATGATATTAAAGAGGGTTTCAAAAAAAAAAAACTTTGAATCACCATTTTCATCTATGCAAATACTCAAAAACAATTTTTTCACGCGCAAGTGAAATTATTTTAAGAATAATATCACTGACGATACTTATTCTCCAATAACATTTTATGAAACTTTTGATACTTTTATTTGTACGACTTAGCGAAACGTGCAACGACATAATTTAAAAAAAAATAAAAATTTGCTTGCGTGTTCATCCTGTCGATTCATTGATCCCTGTGATAGCCAACCATCGCGCGCTATCTTTAACGTTCCAACGTAATCTTCTTTCGACAAAGCTCAGCCTTTCTTCGATAATGGACGAATTTATCCTGCGAGTGTTTCGACCCACGCGGTATGTATGCTTGGCCCAAAGCCTCTAACTTCTATAAACGGGGAGCGTTATTCAAATAACGCTCGGAGCGGAACGCAAACAAGTAGCCCAAGTTAATTCGATGAAAACCGAGGAAGACTCTCATTGTCGAGACGAGAGATCGATCCGTGGAAAGTAATTCGCGAGAAGAGATGAGAAACTGATACGAGATCCATACATTTTTCCCTTCGAATTTTTAATCCTCGAATGGCACGGATGAAGAGTGTACAAGATAATTCAGAAATAATGTGCAATATGATCTGTCGCGTTAGATAGGGATCATCACGGAATGAGAAATGTGCGAGGCTGTGACATTCATGGACATAATTAGTTAAGGAGTTAAAGAACGTGTTCTGCTTCTGATTAAATCTCTGCATCCTTTTATAGAATTTCTGTACTCGTTTGAAATTACAAGGTGTATTTCGAATACTTTCAGTTTCATTTTATACTCTTTTTCATACGTGTATTGTAGAGATGCATGAAATATATTAAAAATTCCGAAAGTGATCTAGTAAGAAGAGGACGAAGAGCTGATTTACCTTACAAATTCCTTAATTCGTGCCAAGATATGAAACGAATATTTCAAAAGCTCCTTTAATTCATTCCCAATTCAAAAATTAAGGATAGATCTCTTAGAAACAATGAATTTAGAAGGATCCTCGAAGGTAATTAGCTTCGTGAAATGATTTATAGCAAAGAAGTCTTACGAGTCTTAATGAGATCGGGCGTGATGCCCTGAATGAAGGCCCACTGTTGGCGAACAATAGCTGGTATCCACATTGAATCTTAATCAAGTCTATTAATTACCACGGTGATTTTTATCGGATAATAAATGAGTTAACGTAGCGAATGACGCGAATATCGAATAAAACGAATATTTTCACAAACATCCTTGCATCCTTTCGTATATTTCCAAAATTACTTGGTAAATCTAAAAAAAAAAACCGAGAGGATCTCTCAGTTTTTCCAACACGTTTTTCACCCGGATTCATCCCCTCCCACGATTCAAAATTTCTGCACCATCCCTTTACGCGTCAACCCACGGACATTGAAACAATGGGGCCAGTTTTGAGCCGCGTGTCAACCCGCACAAAGGTGTCGGACGGGTAGCAATTATTTGACGACGGGACGTGTCTCGATAAATATTGTATCGGCGGGGAATCCGTGTCACGTCGCGCGACCGCGGACGCTTTCGAATATAAATTAGGAAATATCCGGACCGATTCGATCTCTCGAATGGATCGATCGACGTACGATCTATCGAATGAAAAACAAAAAAAAACAAAAACAAGCGGCGGCCGTCGGGATAAAACGGAATAATAACAAAAAAATAAATGCGCGGGGTAAATATTACAAAATGTTAAACGCCGCAACGTAGATAATCCGTCGGCTTGTC